GTTGTGGCGGGCGCCTGTGGTCCCAGCTACTTGGGAGGCTGAGGCAGGAGACTCCCTTGAGCCCAGGAGTTGGAGATTGCCCAGGGGGACAGCTTGAGGCTCTGTCTCAGGAAAAAAAAAAAAAGTCCCAATTTTTGGAAAGAATGCACAGCAAGCTAGGGAACAGCAGGTGAGTAGGAAGGGAATATATGGTTTTTGGCTGCTGAAAAGGTTAATGTAACTCCATTTGGGAATGAAGAGGTTAATGTAACTACATTTGGAAATGAAAAGGCTAATGTAAACTCCCTACTCCCCTCCTGGGCAAGGTATCAGAAGGAGACTGGCTCCCTCCCTTGCTTCTAAGCAAGGACAATTAGCTCAGAAGGAGCCAAACTGTCTGGAACAAACAAGTAGTCCCCCACCCCCCAGAGTAAGGTGACCAGACATCCCACTTTTGGCAGGACAGTCCCAATTTTTAACAATTTGTCCTGCATCCTGTGGAGTTTTAAAAAAGCCCCGATTTTTGGAAAGAATGCATGACAAGCTAGGGAACACAGGAGAATAGGAAGGGAATATACGTTTTCGGCTGCCATGTGGCTGTTTGGCCAGGATATGCATTTTATATTATTTTTGTTAATTTTATAATGTTAAACTTTAATAATAACAAATAATTGTTGAGAACTGATTATCGAGAACTGCTTATCAAAGTTTGCATTGTTATCCTGCCCCTCCCCCCAGGCCCTGCCCGACCCCAGTGGTATCCCACTTTACCAGTGTTAAAATCTGGTCACCTTAGCTTAAACTATTCTTTTACCTCACTCTCCCAAGTAGCTGGGACTACAGGTGCCTGCCACAATGCTCAGCTGTTACTATTGTTGTTTTTTTTGCAGTTTTTGGCCGGGGCTGGGGTTGAACCTGCCAACTCCGGCATATGGGGCCTGCGCCCTACTCCTTGAGCCATAGCCACCGCCTGTTGTTTTTTGAGACAGTTTCATTATGTCACCCTTGGTAGAATGTGGTGGTGTGAGCAACCTCAAACCCTTGGGCTCGAGCGATTCTCTTATCTCAGCCTCCCAAGTAGCTGGAACTACAAGTGCCCGCTGCAACACCCAGCTATTTTTTGGCCAGGGCTGAAAAAATTTTTGGTTTGAGCCCACCACCTCTGGCATATGGGGCCAGCACCGTACTTATTTGGGCCACAGGTGCCGCCCTCAGCTATTTTTTGTTGTCGTTGTTGTTGTAATTGTCATTGTTGTTTAGCAGGTCCAGGCTGGGTTTGAACCTGCCAGCTCTGTGCATGAGGTTAGCACCCTAACCATTGAGCGCCAAGCCTTTTTTTTTTTTTTTTTGAGACAGAGCCTCAAGCTGTCCCCCTGGGTAGAGTGGCATAGCATCACAGCTCACAGCAACCTCCAACTCCTGTGCTCAAGCGATTCTCCTGCTTCCACCTCCCAAGTAGCTGGGACTATAGGCTCCCGCCACAACACCTGGCTATTTTTTGGTTGTGGCCTTCATTGTTGTTTGGTTGCCCTGGGCTGAATTCAAACCCACCAGGTCAGGTATATGTGGCTGGTGTCTTAGCCGCTTAAGCCATAGGCACTGAGCCAGTTTTTCTTTTTTTGAGACAGAGCCTCAAGCTGTTGCTCTTGGTAGAGTGCTGTGGCACCACTGCTCATGGCAACTTCCGACTCCTGGGCTCAAGCGATTCTCCTGCCTCTGCCTCCCAAGTGTCTGGGACTACAGGTGCCTGCCACAATGGCCAGCGTTTTTTTT